TTACGTAAAAGACAAAAGACAAATTATTAATGGTACTAATAATACTACTTAATATATGTATATTATTTTGTTTAATTACACTACAATTACCCTGAAATTACAAATATTCAGTGCGGAAACTTGAATATTGAATATAATATAAGAAGGCCGTATCCTTCTTTAATGGTGATCAAATTCAGACTGTTATTGAGTCTAACCCCATATTATATATCACGTGCTCTCATCAGGCAATGAGTAGAGTTCGGATATAACTTGGTAGTCTAGTGTCGACTGGTCGGCGACCAAACCGCGACAATAAATAAATAACAGTTCTAGGCCTATCCAAAACGGACTATCTAAGTATTTTCAAAATAAGCAGAGCTTAAACGATGGATACCAGTATGGTATCACATGTATTATACATATATATGTGTCTGGTATTACCAGACACATATACATATATATATATATGTAATAATTTGTAAATACTATCAATTTTAAAAAAAGGTGTATATTTCGGTTTTGGAAAATGCATTATGGAATCTCAGGAGTCTGTCATCATCTCAGGAGTTGGACTAGCGAATTCTGCCGGAATCCTGCGGAGTTAATATCACCATGGCGCCAATTCTTTCTCTTCATCTTAGTGCTGGGTTAACGGAGTCGCTTGTCTATAAATAAAATACACTTAGGTACAGCAATACACACATAGACACTAGTATGAATTTTTGTTCTTATTGTTACAATTTAACATTTTCGATAACCTATACAAATAATATTCTGCAGGCCATGATCATACTAACAGTAATATTAATAAGATACAAATTTTTCTACAGTGAACTATGAATTGATTGGCAACATACTGGGGATATTGCCATTGACTGGAAGAGGGTTACTTGAGTAAGTTCTCAAATTAATTATAAATGCATACTTTAATTATTAGATTATAAAATGTGCCTGTCTAAAAATAATAATTAATATACGTATTTGAACAGTTCACACAAACACTAGACAACTGATAGTTAAGTATACTGACACATTTTTTTGTAAATATAAATAATATACATAGTAAACACCCAGACCAATACAAACAATCATACTCACGAATACAAATGATTGAATGTTGAGTTTATGAAAGGAGCTTCTTATTAGCGGCAGTAATAAGTGAAACCACAGATTACATAATGTAACTCATTCCAATGTCCCATCCAGGCGTCTTTATTGTAAATTACTATTCATCGTAAATTTAAATTTAATATTCTTCTTAATTACTTCTTTTTCATAATTAGCATAGAAGTACACAACACTACATTTTTGGGTAAAATCTATTTAAAGCAATCGAAGAACGACAAGTCGATACTAATAGAAAAAATTGAAGAACCGCTATTCTATGTTGGACATATTATTGTAAGTTTATTTACTCATTTATAATTACACTAATGTTTACTTACTTTTAAATATATCTAATAGGTAACGAAGAACACTTTATTCCAATATTACAGACATGCACATGTACATATATAGTCAGTCTGGTAGTAAGCGGCTAAAGCAACTACACAGAGATATCTTTTAACTGAAAGTTCTTTCTTAAATATGTACATAGATAAAAAACTTCCCTATCTAAAAATTTGACTATCAGAACCGATAAAAATGTGCTACGTAAATAAATTATTATTGATTTTGATCTGACCAACACGACATTTTAGTCACTTACGAATGTCAAGATTTTTGTATTATTATTTATTGCCTACCATTCAGTTCAGCTATAAATTCAATTGAAAAGAACTGGCAAGGCTCTCAACTGAATTACTTAATTTAAAGACAGTTCCTAACCTGGTTTATTATATTAGGTGTCTGTCTAACAATGAATGAATATACTGTGCTTGAATAACTATTGCTATGGATATGTTTCGTAAATAATAGGCTTTACTCAATAAATATAATATCTTTTAGAGTATTATTGTAAAGTTTCCATGCAATAGCTATAGACCTGTTCTAAAAGTCAATCGCAATACATACTTGCCGTAACTACCCAGAAAAGTTGGTATTTATTGGAGATTTTACATTTGCATATTGGTCCCTTAATATTCTTTCAATATCAAATTAAAAGAGCTATAAATCACTTTTATGGAATAAAAAAATATTGCTTTAGATTGCTTTAATTTATATAACAATCATTCATATTTCAGTCTCGCACAGAATTTGACAAGAACAGCGACGATATCATCAACGCCATCATCAATGACCTGGCAGCCGACTACCTTAACCGTTTCAATAGATATATTGCACTTACATATATTGAGACAATAGTTTATGCTCTTAACCATAATATCCTGGAGAAATTAGTAAGTTGGCATATTATCGATGATAGACTGTAAAAAGATATTCAAAATAAATTTATTATATTTGACGCAGTAAAATATTGTCCTTATAAAGGCACTTAATGATGATTTATTGAATGATGTTCAAATGAGTCGCTTTCAATTAGGTATATTCTTTTATTTTTGAAACCTTACCTACCTGTTCACAAAATTAACTCTTCGATTCTACATTATTAACCTGAACATATTAACCTATGCTACGACTGCAACAAATCAGTTCAAAATCAAAACCTAGAAAAATATAGGTATCGTCAACGCATCGTGAAAACTATCAAACCATCTATCCAATAATACATAAACACTAATAAATACATACATTAATAATAATGATACTTAGAGCCATTGTCGAGTGTCCGTGGGTACACATTCACCCTACCGACCCTTGGATAAATTTGGTTTATTATTGGTGTTTTCTTCGCCAAGGGGTTAGCCAGAAATATATTGAGACACGAAGTTGGCAAGATTTGAACTCACGAACTTTAAGGTCGAAGTCGGATGCCTAGTAAACCTTAGGCCACAACGCACATATTGTACGTGCATGTACATTGTACATGCATCACATGAATATGTGTCTGTTACGAGGGAATAATTAAGTAATGTATTTTTACTCAACTGAAAATTTAAGTTTAATAGAACCCTTCGTCTCTTTTATTTAGCTATCTAAAACGTCACACAATCGTAAATATTGTGTAAATTGTACACCTACTAACAACTGATAGGTACCTACAAAATATATAGTCGCATATGAACATCCTGATATCTTTGTGATATTTAGATTAATAATAAAGCGCCATTTCATAATAATATGATACCTAATCATATATTAAAATGAGTTAACACGGAATCATTGTTAATCTTAATCTTTATTAGAATAACAGACCAACAACTATAATAGATATGAATTTTATTATTTTTAAAAACACTTTAATCCATAATATAAATGCGACAATGTGTATAACTATTTGTCTGTTTGTATCTTTTCGACTAACGAAACTACTCGAACCCTACTAAAGGATTAGGCTATGTTTTAACTCGAAAAAGCAGAATAAGTCGCTGGTAAAAGCTTATATATTCATAACTTACAGACCTACACACATTGTGGATATTTCATAATATAAAAAGTAAGCAGGTACCAGAATCTATTTCGCTCCTTAAATTCGTCACATACGTACAGCTTAATAAAAATTGTTTGTTCGTTATTTTAACATTCAACTTTTTGTATTGCAATGGCATTGCTGGTGATGCATCTGTGTATATAGTCGAAGGATGCTATCCTTTATATACATATATATATATACATATACCTGAAAATCACCACTATGTGACGCACATGATATATTTGCACGCACTTCTTGTGTTGCCTTTCTGGAGGACTGCGCTGGCGGCATGAAATAAGTGAAGCAGATGTACTCACGCCGATGATAAGACGACCGATACATTGTGCCTCGATAAAAACTGCCTAAACCTACTTCATTCAATTTTGCATAGGTATTATATCCAGATAGGTATATCCAGAGTTTGTCATTTAGAATAACAAGTATAGTCAAGTCAATCAGATTTTCTAGTCATGTAGGCACACAAAGTCAGTTGTGATAGTTAATAAAAATTATCTAAAATATCTGTTATCCAAACTGATTATATATTATTTATTAATGAAACCGTGTAAACAATTAGAAATTTAAATACTACAATGATAATACATATACAATCTGATAGTAATTCGGTTATGATTAATTAGATTAAAAAATCTATTTGTTTGCCAAATTAATGTTATTTGTTTAATACTTACCTACCTATTTCCGATTTACAACGTTTTAATATCTGTAATGATTCAAACTTGTCACAGTAGCTGGTGAACAGTGAAAGAGCTGACAAGTAAGTGTCTCTTACATATAACCCACAGAATAGGAAATTAAAAAATCTTGCATTGTTAGTTTATAAAATTTATATTTCATAGCCGACTACTAAATATTATGTGTACTAGTAACTAAGGTTTCCTCCTAACTCCATAGCATAATTTAAAAAATATGAACGTAAAAATCAACCAACTAAATCTAGAAAATTAAGTTGCATAAGTTACGTAGTTATCGTTAATTAGGTACTATACCTATGTGACTCACTATAGCTAATTGTGACTTACTGGAATTCATTTATAATAGGAAAAATATTTTATGCAATAAGCTAAATGAAATAACCAAGTAGTTCAGTCATTTTCCGCTTTTTGTACCTTAATATTTACAGTGCGATATATTATAACGAAAATAGTAGTAGTAAGTTATTATCCTTTTCAATAAAAAAAAATATATACTGAATACCTGCTGAATATTTTCAATATACATATAGGTACCTACAGTTGTTATGCATCATGTTATTACATAGATTAAAGTTGAGAACTCAGCTCGTGTACTACCAACCTGAAAATAAAACATTTAGCAGCAATAATAATTTAAAGAACCGTCGCCTATATACACAAACGTCATGCCCTATTACGGGGGACTAACATATTATACCTCCATACTCTGTAATTTTACTGCAATATCTATCTTACGATTCAACCGATGCACAGAATTATGAACGAAAGCGACTTGGCGGTTGAAACACATCGGTAAAATGTAATAAATGTCAGATATTTACAATTTCAGCATGAAAATTATACTTGTATTCACTCTATTCTGCGCTTTCGTCGCCGCAGCCTCCACCGCGACAGTACCACATGTAGTAGAGGAAAATGCTTTAATACCAAGTAAGTATATTTATAACCTATATTAAGATTATTAGTTGCGTATTAACTAGGTAGTAACGAAATGTTGATTAATAAAACTGCACAATAATCAGCCGACAAAAAACGGGGAAATTCTCAAATCAATGGTTAATTCTGAATTTTATATGCGAGAATTGGTGGTCTATTGTTGTATTCAGGTACGTCGTGTTTTATTACACATGTGCAATTTATAAGTATCTTATACGTATAATTAGAAAATTTTACGTTAATATATTTTTATTGTCCATATCAGATGTACCTTTAGCTATCGACAAGGACAATGCTAGTCGAAATATACTGGTGAACATTCTTGTACGTCAACTATTTGAATATATCAGATATGTAATCAAGAATGGCTCTATTATCTTCGGGACTCCGCCATTGGACCCGCTCTATATAGAGGAATTGGCCCTGAAGGTTCCAGCTGGACTTCTCAAGTAAGTGTATTATTGAAAATCTCAAAATTACAATGCCTACCTACTGTGGCTTATCAGAAAAATGACTTTCATTTGTCAAATTGAACTGAGTGCTTTCGCCTTTTAAACGTATAAAGCTTCAAATATGTTACAAAACGATGCTTAGTAATGGGAACTACAGACCGATGTGCTTTATTTTAATTATCGATTATATCTGTGTACTTACCAGATTACTCGCGTTTATAGCAATGTAATCAGTACGATATCGACGTCCACCCTGGGGATCAATGTGACTAATTCCTAAATTAATTGGTGAATTCGGCTGAGATTTTATTACGCTGTGTAAATTCACCGTGTTGAGCTACTAACCTGATTCACGTTCTATCGGCCAACCGCTAAGACAGTCGAGAGCACCATTCATTCTAAAAATCTTACTCACTTTCACACCTCTCTTTATTACCTATGATTTGACTGAAACATATTTATTGAACATTAATTAAATTTATCTTCTATTTCTCAGTTTGGATTTGGAGCTTCAGAGAATCGCTGCTTCAGGCGTAGGAGACTTTGTAGTACACAAAAGTGACTTGTCTTTGCGACGACTTACTTTCGACTTGGACATATCCGTTCCTCGCTTAGAGATTAGCAGCGGTAAATAAATATTTGGATTAAACCAAAGTTAATATAACTTATTATACTAATTTTGATTTAATTACTTATTTATTATATAAATTTTGATTTGACTGAGATTTTGACACTTAAAATATTTACATAAGTTTAAAAATTGTTTCACCTGTAAAGGTATATTTTAAACAAATAGAAATCTCTCAATCTCACTTACTGTTTATTATCCATTCATCGTTATATTTTGAAAATATTAAATATGATTATTAGAACATTGTACTTAATTTGTTAATTACTAAATATAGTTAAATACTAAATTTGTTAATTTCTACTTGAAATATTCAAAGAAACCCTCACAGTATTTCTTAGGTAGGCTTAAATAAGTAGTTTCTTTATTATGTTATTTATTTTCAGATGTATATGACTTAGTTGGTGATATTTTGACTGCTATTCCATTATACGGAACAGGCAATGCCAGGTTGGTATTTTTTTTAAATACTACTGATAACGACCTAATTCCCGCCCTTACCAGTTTTACTTTCCACTAACTTCACATTTCTAACTCGTCTTCGGATCCGGAGACTATTAACCTCACGATTAGTCTCTCCTGGTAACTAAATCAATGTGATTTTTTTTACCAAATAATAAGTAATAAATACCTACTATGCAGATCTAATAAGTCAACAATAAAAATAGCATTTAAATATTAATTAGTATAATACCTAAACATTATGAAGTTTCATTACCTTCTTCCTACTGTCTGTTTTCTACAAATGAACTTCCGTACAGATTCGTAATGTGTCATCAAATGTGTTATTTTTTTGCTTTTAGATTTATAATTGAAGACTTCAGACTGCAATCTAAACTATACTTGAAACAATCTGACGATGGAAAATCTGTGCTAATTGACAGAATCGAGAATCCGGCTTTCCAATTGCCCAGCTTCCAGGTAATATTGAATTCTATACCTATCTACTTCAATATTACATACATTTTCTATGACTTTATGAAGCGTAGATAACTAATTTAAAAGACAAGAAGCGTGATGCTTATGTACCTACTTAGAATTTTAGTCCTTAGGATTTGACTATACATATTTATGACTACTTTGACTTACCTGATCATGTAGCTTTATATGTAGATATAAAGCTACATAATTAATAACTCAATAGCCGTAAACTCATTCACAGTCTCTTTATCTGATTTGTATTTTACTAGCTATCCCGGCAAACGTTGTTTTGCCTTATAATTTAATAACCCTATAAAAATAGGGGTTGGTTATAGAAGGGTGAAAATTTAGGGTTGTATGTATTTTTTAATGACACATAATAAAAAAATATAAATAAAAATTTTTGCCCAAAAAATTATGATAGGGTTGGATAACCCTTATCACTTAGGGGTATGAAAAATAGATAGTAACCGATTCTCACACCTGAATATGCATATAAAATTCGGTAAAGTGTGCATTCCAATCCAAACTACTTCCAACCTCTATTAATTGCCTAATAATGCCTCGTTTAGAAGATTAACTCATGTCGTATGGGTGTAGAACCGATAACATCAGCGTTTGATAACTATTAGCACTGATAAGATAGCATACATGCTATTAGGGAAGGTCATAACGATTCCAGTAATAGTAGTCGAATTTCCGCACCGAATCTTTGTAGTCTCACATATCCTTAGTGTTAGTGATATTAAACAAAATGATATACCTACATTGATCCATTAAGTAAACGCTTTCCAATTACAGTCCCAGCTGACCGGAGTGATTGGCGGCGGTGAAGATGTGGATGCAATTGTCAACGCAATAACAGAAGATGTAATCATTGGGTACGTGAACCGTTTCCAGGGTGCCATCTCAAAAATTGCTTCCCTCGCCATAATCGCAGTTGCAAACCCTATACTCGATCAACTGGACACCTGGAAGTTCCTCGCACCTCTCATGCCTTCATAAAATTAGAATCTAATTCGTTAAGTACTGTATAAAATAAAACCTCCTTAATACATATCTTGCTTGTTTATTTCAATATCCAATCACTTTAATGATCCTGGTGAGGAATTAGCGCACTGCCTCTTCTTCGAATAGGAAACGGGTTCGATCCCCGTACGGCTCAAACATTGGTATTCATCAGTAGGTTTAACCGTATAACTAATTGTTTTCTATGCATATATATATAGGATAGATAATGCATACAGCATTATCTAAATAATAGGTAGAGCTTGCATGGAGAAAGATTACAAGCTCTGATGATCTAAATGATATTGTCATAGAGTTGTATTTGTCCCCAAAATAACAATTTGGTACCATCCTATGCATATAAAAGTTATAAATTCGTATAAATACTCTATCTTGAAATATAGATCTTTAACCGATTTGAAAAAAGATGGAGGTTCTGTGTTTAATTCCGTGTATATTTTTTTTTCAATAGTTACCTATATCTTTTACACACAAGTCCCATAGCTATAAATACAAAGTGTAAACATGTAAAATGTACACAATAATAAGTCACTCCAGTCTCTACAATACAGGCGTGCGAGCCTAGTGTAGAACTACAGTAAATTAAAATGTAAATGTGTATCATGAATAAATATTATTATTATTATTATTATCTTCACGTAATTACGCAATTACATTTCTTTTTAAGTTAGAGGAACTAATCTAAGAAATAAGTTAAATAAAGACACTCTCGTAAATAACACAAATTTACTACTAATGCAATAAAAATAACAAATATAAGTGTCAATAACGTGTAATATATACATTTATAAAATCTGGGTATAAGTATGGTAACCTATTGCTATTATAATATAAGTAGGTACTTTCGTGGAAAAGTATGAATTACTTTAAAAACCATCATAAGTATCGTACCAGACTTCTCGGCAAACGCCCCTAATATCTTTCTTGTATCCCTCCGGGCATCCACCACCTTCGAACCATGCTGGAGAATCCTCAAAACCGATCTTTAACACAATCTCCTCTTCGACATCCTTTGGCATGTCTTCTAAACTTTGAAGTTTCGGCCCCGATAATGCAACTGTTATCAGCAACAACAGAAAAAAACAAATAATACGCAACATGATTCTCGTAGATTTGCTACGGACCGACTGAGATTAACATTGCTAAATTTATGGCGAACTTCCTTCGCCTACACAAAGGAAATCCGTGTAATTTACGCAAACAAGCAGATAATGGGACAGAATCACAGAATATAATGTTGTTCTTTTGTGATTAATCCATATTTTACCTATTCATATAAATTCCCGAATATCAGGTCCATTGTTAGGTAGGTATTTATCATCTATATTGTTTATTATATTCATACATTGGTTGCCACTTAACAAATGTGCCATTTCGTCAACTTACTATTAATAATTAACACAGCTATTAGGTAGATAATAATGGAATGGGCGGACAATAATAAGATTTCCAGGGAGAACCGCATGAATGTCAAGTCATTGTTAGCAATGGGACCACTGACCTCATTACTAATAATCGTATTTCCCCGCTATTCAGGAGAATTATGATAGTACAGCATGCTATAAAGACTACATAGTATATGTGCATTTCTACTTTAACGGATAGGTAACCATTTAAGCTGTGAACGAAAGAACGAAAAGAAAAATATGAACGAACTTTCGCAAATTAAAAATGAAGCGGATAAAGTTACCGAGAAGACGATCCAATTTGTTTAGAAGGTCTTCATGGTAGACATCACCATTATGAAAAGTGGGGAGCACTAAAGATAATATAGTTTCAATAAGTAGGTACATTTGTAGAACTAACCTGCAATGCAATATTTTTCGGGGTTCACAGGTAAAATAAAACAAAATTGTATATTAATAACAAAATATAAAATTAAAATATTGAAATAAACACTTATTGTGTTTTTATTTCTAATATAAACATAACAACGATGTCATCGACAAGATTTTAGTTTTGGAATAGATATACGTAGTTAGATCTAATATATTACAATAAACTTATATTGAACTTAGCAATAACATAGAAAAAAAGAATAGTCAGAATGTACCTTAAATAGACGAAGGCAGATTGTGGTATTCTCAAAAAATAAATTCTGTGTGACTCTGTCATAGAAAATTCCCGAATATCGGTAATTCAAAGACCCTACAAACGCTCCCTGTGGGTATTAATAGCTATAATATTAGCGCTATGTAGTCCTAGTTTTTGCAAATTAATAGAAATACACAGACTATAAACAATAAACATATTTACAAATAATTACAAAAAAGTATTAACGAGAATTGAACTCGCAACCATTGGAAACAAAGCTGTGTGCTAGACAGCTAAAGGCGTTAAAGCTGTCTTTTCATTAGTATATATATGTAATGTTCTCTTATCTGTATCTGTAGTTATACTACTATCTAGTAGTAGGATTTATATATATTTACTGAATGTTTTGTTATGAATTCCCCTATTCGGTTATTCCCCGAGCTGATTGTTGGGCCATATTTGCTAGATTTATTTATTGCAATGATTTGATTATGTATATGTATACCTACATACACGTTGCATATAAATATGGATAAGTTATTGTAAGATGATAAATGCACATAATACTAAAACCCAAGTATTTGTGATCTTATGAATAAAAAAAACGTTTAAATACGCTTTATACAATCAATTTGAATACAAATGTTTGTACAGTACGAAGAAACGAATCAGTGACCATCGGAAGTAAAACAGTATGCTAAGCGTTATTGTGCTAAACACCGAGGTTTGGTCGAATTTACCTATACCAAAGGAAAAGTCAAACATACGTACATGCAAATATTACTAAAATTATAAACGCGAAAGTTTGTGAATAATAAAGTATAAACGATACTTTTAAATATAAAACTTACAATTATTCTCTTTAACAGCCTATAATGTATTATTGGTGTATCACAAGATTATAATAAATGAGTTACGAAATAGTATAATTTTCGCATAATGCAGTCTACGGTATGGAAATTTAATTATTTGTTTGCAATTACGAAGCTTAGCTATTGGACGATTTTGGCGGCGGTGGCGGTTGTCGATCTCGAGGCTGAGGTGGTGGCTGACGCTCCCTTGGCTGTGGTGGTGGTTGAGCAGTAGCTCGGCGCGGGGGCGGAGGCGCCTGACGCGCACGGGGCTCCGGTGGTGGATGACGCTCGCGAGGCGACGGTGGGTTCATTCTATAACGAAGATATAAACGGTCTTACTAACATAAATGTGGATTGATGGATGTTTGTTATGATTATGATGTTTGCTCTTTCACGCAAAAACTACTGAATGCTATACATTTGAATGAAACATACGCTATAAATTTAACGCGGGTCAAACTGTGTTCACAGCTATTGGTTAATAAAAGATACTTAAAATTTTATTTAATAATTCCACTTACAAACAATTTTTTTGAATATATTGGTCTCAAGGCTTGATGAATAGGCATAAAATTTATGTTCCACTAAAAAAACTTGTAATTGAAAAATTGAGTCTGTTTAAGCAGCTGCCCTTTCTCCCAAAAAAACTTGTCTTGATTTCAGCTTTGCCGTGCCCCAATTATAAAGAACCAATTATTTTTTAAGGCTTTTACCTATCTTTAATATTTTATTGAAATTTCTGTTTAATTATTAGAACACAAATATATTATATATATTGAAGATAAACAATCATTCCTATGATCGAAACAAAAAATACGTTCATTTTATACGTACTTTCTCGAACAATGCCATATGGCATTCTCTACCAGTTAACCACTGTTAGTTTAGATCGCCAATTGTAGCAAAAAAAGGGTTGAAGGCAGAGACGAAAGTATTTACCCAAAATAATTGAAAATGCTGCTATAAAGTCACTACTCCTACTACCTACCTAGTAATATTAGAAATGACAAAGTTCGTCTGTCTGTTTGTTATCTTTTATGACTAACTGGCTAGGAATACTCCTACAACGCGTTTTCCTATATAACGCCGTGTTATAGGGGGATACTGTATTAAATACATAAAGCAAAACCTTTGTACCCTTTTTTTTACAAAAATTGCTCTGACGGAGAAATATAAAACGCGCATTTATAGTTTATATAGAAGAGTGTTTTAACATCAGGCACATAATTACAAAAACTATTAAATCAATAAAAAAAAACATTACAACATTGAATCACATGTAATAATCAATTATTGAACTCCAACAAAACTAAGTGCATTAAATTCATGCTTCCTAATGTAAAACAAGTAAATACGCAGCTATTGCTTAATGATGAAATAGTAAATTTTGTTAATGATACAGTTTTTTTAGGAATAACAGTGGACTCGAAGTTACAATGGGGGCCCCATATTTCAAAATTAGCCAGTAGACTTAGTTCTGCTGCTTATGCAATTAGAAGGATAAGGCAATTAACAGACGTGGCGACGGCAAAACTTGTATATTTTAGTTATTTCCATAGCATTATGTCATATGGCATACTGCTGTGGGGTAAAGCTGCCGATGTAAATACTATATTTATTTTACAAAAGAGAGCCATACGTTCTATTTATGGTGTGGGTTCTAGAGAGTCATTACGTCAATGCTTTAAACAATCAAATATCCTCACCGTTGCCTCACAGTACATTTATGAAAATATTATGTATACAAGGAAAAACTTAGATAGTTTCAAGAAACTTAAAGACTGTACAAGTAGAAACTTACGCAATAAAAATAAGCTAATTTTACCTAAATGCCGTCTACACAAAGTTAGTAATTCATTTTATGGTAATTGCGTAAGATTCTATAATAAACTGCCAGAGTCTACGCTAAATCTTACAGAGAGGCAATTCAAATCTTATATTAAACAAATGTTATGTAAAAAAGCCTATTATAAGATAGATGAATTTATAGATGATAGCAATATATAGCAAGAATAAGTTTATTTGCGGACAACGTTATAATTTTAATTTTCATACTGCTTTCTTGATATATGATAGATAGCGTAGCGGCTTTTGTATTGATTGCCGCATGCATCCTTATGTAAAGTGCGAATACTGTAACTACCATATAGTAATTTTTGTAGCTGTGACGTGGTCGTGTGGAATGAGTAGTCATGCTCACTAAAATGTCCAGACATGTGGCGGCGTGGTGGGCCGGGTCATTGGGCTCCCTAAAATATGGTCGAGCGCAGTGATCTCATCTCTCAGTGCTCATCCGTCATACTCGTGAGCGAGTGCTGCTTGTAGGGACTGGTCTGCTCTTATCACTACGACTGATTTAATCTTATTGCATATTTATATTTGACCCAAAAAATTAGTGCTTGTTGGTAGTTTGATTCACACGTTTCGACTTGTAAATGTAAACTTACAAGGATTATTTAAAAGAGCAACACACAAGTTTCTTGCTCGTTCTTCTTGTGATGAGACAGCTTTCCGAACGAGTGGTAGATAAAAAACAAATTGTTATGACTATTCAAAAGTGCTTAAATTAAGTTTATTTGAATAAATGATTTTCTATTTCTATTTCTATTTCTATTACACACATTACCACGTATTTTGACACAAACACGAAAATACCTCTCTTTTGATTCTTCCTAAAGTTCTTGGTCAAATTAATATGGTTTGTCTTTAATATTATTAGTTCATGAGTCATATAGTTAATGTTAAATTAATTATCGTCAAATTTGGACTAGTTACACGCTATCTTTGTCTTAATAAAAGCACAAGAAATTATTGGTAACAGCTAGTTGTCACATAGGGCCAAACTGCTGTAAAACGTATTGTAATATGCTTCACTCGATATTTTCTATTTGTTTTATCTCAGTTGAATTACAAATAACAAAATCAATAACAATTGTTGTACCATTCTTAACTGTGCGGCGAGTAAGAAGTTGTAAGCTCAGCCAGTAAAATATAATTTTAACTTACTTCATATTAATTAACAAAATTTCTTCGATCACGACCAGGGCAAATGATAGAAACTGAGAAGTACGAGAGTTGTACAAGAACTATAAACAGACTGCACAGATTACCATCCGTACAATTATTATATACCTATCTACTTGTTATTCACGTTATATTTACTTGGGAAACGACATTATAAGAAATCACCGACCATAGAGAAAAAGCGCAGATTTTACCACAAACTACATATACTAGAGTATAATAATAAATAGATCCTACAGAGACATTTATATACAGAATGAGTAGGGACATTACCTTGTATACACCTACTTTTTTTTTTTCAGACTACTCTAATGCTGTTGATCGCGGCTGGCCTTTACAGCTTCACCGGACGATAGGAGGCGACTGTAGATGGCACTCCAAACCTCGCGGAAGGACTTATAGAGCGGCTGAAGGTTAACTCCTGCCTGGCGGATACGACTTTAGTCTGAGGGCACCGCTTAAAGTTCGAACCTCGACTCAGGCCGTCGTCCCGTTTGAATTGGACGGGGAATCGATCGGAGGCGGTACATTTATATACTTAATACATTATTAGCCAGTCACTGAGAATAACCACCTTCGGATAATAAGAATAACTCTTGACACACAGCGCCATCTAGACCTAAGTTGAGCAGTTTGTGTTAGACTAGACAACTGATATAAATGTTTTTTGTAAATATACATAGAATACAAACGATCGGGACATGGGGATTGTTAGTAATGGGAATTAGTAATCCTCATTGCTAGCAATGTATGGTTACGTCGACCTCCACGTGGTTCCTCATGGAAATTATCGTAATAAATTCCTAGTGAATTTGTCACGATGGGTTAACTGGCCTGATCTCATATTCAACTTATCATCCTTTACAAAAAAAAATACTAAGGATCACACTCATGCGAGGAATCGAACCCACGACCATCGTGGGTTAGGCGGTGTACTAAACCGCTAGATAACAAAGCCATCGTTTGCCGTTAACAGTTTCAACATTTATACATTAGGTATTACTTCACAGTTCTTAACTAATAATAATCAACGGTCTGTCACTCCCCTGATAACATATTTCCCCTGGGGCGTACAAAAAGCAAAAAAAAAATCTGGTTCATACCTATCATAAGAGATATAAAAATGATATGCTTTTCTTGTGGGACACAAAAAAGTAAATACGCTTTTAATTAATATTGACCCATACAGGTAATAGAAATGGCAAACACACTGACGGCTCACCTAATATTTAACCTTAACAGTACATATTTGGTATTCGTAACTGTCGCCTACATGCGTGAACAGCATATGTACCTACATCACGCTGTCTCATGCAATCGCCTGAACCAACCCCTCACGCGAATTTTACTGTTAAGTCAACCTTACTAAGCTCGAATACGGCAACTGAACAAAGACCGATTTATTAAACATTTTGCCTTGTAATGGATTAAGACGGAAAATAATAGAACTTAGTCAAAATAAAATGGATGACAGTAAGAAAGTCACCTTAATGGTGCACCATTGTGTGAACTATTTCATATACATTATATTAACCGTAGATGGTTTTACGTAACCCTATGAATCCTATGACGAATATGACGATAATATCTATCTATACTATACTTGCGACTGATAGGGCGCACAAACCGAATACACAGTATTACTAAGATGATAAATTACTGATTCATGTCATAAATTGGTTATACAGAGTAAATACGTAAATAAATTGTGAAACGTTTGTTAAAAAAAAATGCTATTCATGCACGAATGTAAAGATTATTTGAAATAGTTGAACAACACTTATACATAGACAATCCTTGATCTATCTTAATGTAGGTATAAATATAACATACCTGTTGATTTTGGTATTACAAAACTTATAAGATTAATAAAGCTAATAACTGTAAATACGAAACAGTAAGTACAATAACCATTGTCACAAATAATTTTGTCAATGAAAAAAGACAGTTTTATATTACTTATTTTACTACTCTTTCGTGGAGAAGGTTATGTGTCTGTTTATCTTTATCAAAATTTACTGAATTAAAAAAAATGTTTATACTTTATGTTTCTTAAAAGATGTCATGACGTAAATACTAGTACCTATAAACAAATAGAATAAAGTTGAATTAATTTATATATTAATAGTAATTAGTATAAACCTGATTAAAATTGCGACTTAAACCTATATATTTATGTCTTTTCAACTTAAGGGTATTATTACTAATGAATGAATTAGCAGGGCTCGTATATACAATACAAGAAGTCCTATATTCTATAAATAAATATAATTCAATAGAAAAGCTAGGAATGTGAAAAAATGAACTACATATTATAGAAAATAATGATCAAAATGATTCTGTAATATAACAATTCTTTCATAATTGATTGTTTTATCTGATGATTTTTTTGTCCAGTTTTTTTTTATTTATAGTCTGTGTTTTACCTCTGAAGCAAATTTTTCATTATCTGTGTCGCCATCCTTCTTGTGATTATGGAATAGTGATGTGCATTATAGTACATTAAAAATAATTATCGATTTTTATAGGTTACCCTGAAATAATGTATGTATTAATAAAGTGTATGTATTGATAAATATAGGATTGTAGTATCAAAGTACATTTCTTTAAATTGTCTTAATGTAGTGCACTAAAACAAATATTAAATGCCTCTTATAAAACATACGCTTATTTCAAATATTGAGCTGTGTAAAAGATAAATAACAGTTTATTTGTAATTTAAACTACAAAACAACTTTTTTTTCTTTCTGCTAAATATTTTAATTTAGCGTATGTTTTATAAAATATAAGATGGTCATTTATTTTATATAACAGGTTGTCAGTATTTAAGCAACCGACACACAGCTTATAAAAGAAGTGGCTTGTAAGTATAGTAAATACAGTAAAATATAGTATGTTGTGGTATAGTAAGTACCCACGCAGACGACTTATACTAATCTACCTATGATGACACAAATATCAAACATATATTCATGTTTCTATATTTTAAAAACATTAATTAATTAAATTAAAGACAATAGTTTGCCGTTAATAAATTGTGATTAAACCAAAAATTTAAAATTATCTTGCATAATAAAATTTACAGTCCCTAAAAACATGTAATAATACAATATTGAAAGTCATGTACATATGTGATCTATTTCTAACTTAATATTATCTTCTTATATACAAATGTGACAAATATGTAATGCCAATTTAACTAGGGTTCTGTTCTAGTTCTTGTTCTTAGATCCCTGGCTTTGTATTAATCTGTAACATTGCCTACTTTGACAGATAAAGTGAATATCAGAATAGGCAGAGACCGAATGAATCATAGACAAGGTAAAAATCAATGAATGAGTGAAGTGAAGCTAGGAGCAAAAAGTCAAAACTACTTACGAATGAAAGAAAAGTGATTTCGGTGAGAAAAATTAAAGTCTTTTCATGTGATTTTTGTGAATTTGTGTTTGTGCAAAATTCATTGTAGACTGTGTTTGTTTAGTATTTTTGGAGAAAAGTTCCCAAAAAAACGTACCGCTTGGTAGTAATATGAGTAATGTTACCAACCAAAATGGAACAGGTCTAGAGCAGCAGGTCTGTACCTCATGTATCTACTAATCTTTTTATTGATTTTTAACACATTGAATGGAAATGTATGTGGAAAAGTATTGGGTTATTAATTTTATAGCTGTGTGAAAATTGTTCTAATTCATGAAAAGATCAGATTGCAATGTATACGAATCGTAGATAATCTTGATACTTTACGTGTCTTTATTTCGCCAACATGGCGACTGGATTCTCCATCTTTTGTTACCTGATTAGAGTTGAAGATTCCAAGTCCTCATCTGAGTCTCGCATAGGAATAACCCGGTAGTTTTCCGAAACCTAATAAAGGTTAGGTCATTGTCACGTATAATTGCGTGTCATGGCGGGAGGAAATTCACAAATTGCAATAAATGTGTTTCGGTAATCAAATAATAATTTTATTGAAATAAAACACACTAACCTTATCTAACATCTTGATTTAAATCTATTATACCATTTAAATCACACTGACTGTATAATTATTAATAGACATATTTGGTCATGCTTCCATGGTCATGCCATTATGTATACCACTACTAGTACATTTAATGAAGTTTGTTTTTGTTTCAATGTAAACACTTACATGATTATTTTATTTTAATAATCTAAGTATTTAATAATTTTAACACTTATAATCATAATTTTTTATGTCTGATTGACCAGATACATTTCTAATCACATTACAACCTTTACTGGTTCGTTGAATTGTTTGATTCTCTAAATATCTAATTTTAGTGAGAAGTTTTCTTGTTGCACCTGTCCCAAAAATGTTTAAGTATTTGCCTAGTTGTTCAATTTGATTGTATGCTTGTGTAATTATTACTATGTAAAAAAAATTGTTTAGTTACAGTCATAATATATCTAAGTATTTATAAAGTTTTATCATTTAATTTTGTGGTGTGATAGGATTTAACATATCTTCCAGCGTAACATTATTTCTATCTGTCTACTAAATTTTATTTAATCTTAGCAGTTGAGTGTTCATTATGCTAATCTAACAATGTCTACAATATAAATATATAATAACTAATTTCCTATATTTCAATATGATCACATAAAATGTGAACTTTAATGGAAGTAAAGGTTTTAGTATTTTCTAAGTATTTAGTATGATAAGACAAGTTTTTTTTAAGACCACTATTGAAGTAAACACATACATAATAGAAAAATAAGCTTTTTCTTTATGTTCTAATGTTTTTGTTGTTAAATTCTATTTATTGTAAAAGTTCTGAAATGAGGACTAATTGTATGATAGAGTAATGAATCATATACCAAAATATTTATCATTTATAATTTTAGCATGAAATAGTAATCAATAAAGAATACAAATATACTTTCTTTAGTAAACATTATTTTATAATTAAAGTACCTAGCTTTCATTATAATCCATAGAATTTCCAGTTATGTAATAATTTTATGGTCCATTCTCTATATCTTTAGTTTGGAGAAATTATCTGTGTTGCCACTAGATTGTGATTGCTATCAATCTTCTCCAGTCTAAGGTGTGACTGAACATGGCAAACTTAGGCCTGATTTCAACAAAAATCAGCAGATTTTGCCAAGCTAATGATAAACTGCCACTACACATCCTATGAGGTTGTAGCCCATTCATGCTTAAGTCAAATATCTTCTTTGCAAAGTATACACTCTATCCTGACTAGATAAAAACCATTACTCCTAAAAATGTCTTTCATTCTTGTCCTTTATGGGTCTAGGTAGTGGACTTTGGAAAACGGTGAGCAACATAGAACATCTGAGAATAACCCAAAACCTGCAATAAAAAAAAGTGTGACGCATCTAACTTATTATGAAATATCTTAATCATCCATTGTTGCAGCTTGCTGGTCTGGACTTGCAGCCTCAGGCTTCTAGGAGTGCTGGCCGCTACATCCCCCCGCATCTGCGTAGGCAGTTGCAGGCCAACAACTCTCAAGGTAAAAATTCTTCATATACTTGTACTCAAATACTAATTCTTCATATACTTGTACTACATATAATTGTACTCAAATGCAAAGAGTCGACAATATAAAATACCTTGATGTCATGGTAGATGAGCGACTGAAATGGGACGCACATATAATGTTAATTACTAAACGAATTAGAAAACTAATATACATATTTAAAAGTCTTAGAGATGGTGCACATGAAACTCTCATAATCCAGGTTTATAAAGCACTCTGTGAGTCTATAATTAACTACTGTATTTGTTCATGGGGTGGTGCAAGTAAATCCTATCTCATTATAGTAGAATGTGCACGAGTAGTATTGAAAGTTATGCTGCGTCAATCATTCCAATTTTCTACCTACAAACTGTATCAGGATGCCAAGGTTCTAAGCGTTAGAAAGTTGTATATCGTTAATTGTATAATGAAGTATCACAGAGAAACTATACCAAACTTAACTATAGTAGAAAACAAACGAATTGATTGTTGCCCAGTACCATTTACCAAAACAAGCTTTGCCCAGAGACACTATAACTTCCATGCACCTTACTTATATAATAAAGTAAACAAATTATACAGCATAAAAAAGATGAAAAAAACTGCGCTAAAAACATACTAAAAACCTGGTTAGAAAGTTTTGACTATGACCAAACAGAAAATGTATTAAAAATTTAACTCAGGTAATTACATACATATATAGTTAAAGAATGACTATATAAACTATATAAATAACACACACACACACACATACATATACACACATACATACACACACACACACACACACACACACACACTTACCCACATGCCCATACTCCTAATCAAACACATGGACACTATAATTTAATTTTTATTTTTTTCTTTTCCTCATTTTTCTTGTATACTTATTACTTTGATTTTTTTTTCTCTCTACACTATGTTAAATTAAGTACATTCTAGTATGTCAAAAAGAATAGCGTCCCTTTTATACATATTTTTTGTATTCAAAAGTATTAAAGTTTTTTTTTCTCATTTCTTTATGTATACAACTGCAGATGTACCAAAAATGTTTACAGAATGTTGGAGGGAACTGGCTTTCGTGGCACAGGTTCACCTAAATCGAAAGCCAGGGCTAACTATATTTAATTGTACCATGCATTTATGAATAAAGTTTATTATTATTATTATTATTATTATTATACAATTCACATAATTCATTTTGCCAATTTATACACCTAGTTCTCGAAGAATTATGTAAGATTGAAATTAATGGTCAAAAATATGATTCAATATAATTTATTAAATCTAAAAATTAAACTATTTAATTTATTTAATACTGTTATTTACTGCACTTATTATACTTTAATTATTTTTTATATGCTCATCCATTATGTATCTATATAACTTTTATTCATTCACTTGTACCTATTGTACATAGATTACAAAAAAATATTTAGATTGTGTAATGTTACCCATTGTTATTTTATCACAAAAAATCCTTTGTTCTAAAGTAGGTTAGAATGATTATAGAAATGTTACAATTACCTACTGTTTATCAATATTACCTTTTTATTTTTATGTATTTTTTATGCATAATAACTTATTTGTTTTTGCTTAAAATGTGAATTTTATATTTGATATATCCTTGATTCTTAGACACCTTGTTGTCCAATATCATAACTTATATTATGTAAGCACATATCTTCTCTCTGAATTATTACAATGTAATACTTTTTTTTATTTAACCCAATACAATTCACACATACTATTTAGTCTCAAGCTAAGCAGAGCTTGTGTCATGGGTACTAGATTACTGATATAAGTACATACTTTATCTACATAGAAAACATCCAGGCTAATATGAGCAATTATACTTATGAATACAATTTTTTACACTGTATGAGGAATCAAACCGGCGAGCTTAGGTAAAAAAGCGATGAGCAAAACAGCTAGATTACCGAGTGTATCTAATAAATGTAATAACAGTTTATAAACATTATTTTTTAATGTGATTTCCAGGAGAGGAGTCTAAGCGTCCAAGCTTAGACGCTCGTCCTAACGATACACGGGACAACCGTTCATCATTGGGAAACAACTCTAGAGGATACGACCGTGGTGGTCGGCGCGACGACCGCGACCGTGACCGCGAGCGTGACTACGATCGCGGCTACGACTCGCGATATCCGCGCAGGGACCGCGGTATGTAACACTACCATCCTTGTTTGTTTTTAAAGAATCACTTTTTGACTATTCACACAGCGTAATCTAGTCCCAAGTTAAGCAGAGCTTGTGATATGAGTACTAGACATCTGATATATATACATGATGTACATAGAAAACACCTAGACCGATACAAACAAATTATATTCATGAATACAAATGTTTGTACCGTGCGAGGTAACGAACCCGCGACCATCGGATTCAAGTGGTGTGCTAAACCATTAGACCACCGTCAATGATAATGGAATGGTCCACTCAATGGTGTGCCTGCGCGAACGGTTTACGCTGGCGGGGCACCATTGGGGCATGATGATATGAGCATGAGGTCAGGTCGGTTAGCCTATCGTGGTAAATTCACCATGAATTTATGACGATGGTTTCCAGGAGGAACCACATGGAAGTCAACCGACATGGTACATTCAATAGTTATGCTACCAATTTTTTTTTAAATATACAGTGGTGGACGCATAATTAGAAACAATACCAACGGTACCTGACATTATATAAGATACTTCACCGCAATCATTTTTATTTTGAAATTATTAAATTAATTTATTAAATTAAATTATTATTAATAAATAGGACAACAATATGTTCAAGAATTTATAATTTATTATAAAAACTATAAAAATTCCATTACATAAGTGTAGTTTCAATATTACATTACCGGCAACGATTTAAATCAGTTCTAAGGTATGAGCAATAATGGTCAACTAATTAGAAACAACAACAAAAAAGTATAAAAATCTATATTTTTTTAAGTATTAGTAATTTGTATTGTTATTTACGAAATAGCTACTACCTACAGCCTACCAATAGTTATAATTAATATTTAGTGGTATATCCCTTATTTTTAATAACAGCACTGCAAGGACATGGCATAGATTCAATGTATTTCATACATTTTTCTAGGGGAATGGAATTCCATGCTTCAACAAATGATTCATATAGTTCGTTTTGACTGATGTTGTTTGTTACTGATGTTTGTTTAAGACTGTATTTTTAACAATATACCAGAGATTTTCTAAGCGTTTAAATTCTGACTATTTTCTGGCCAGTCTAAAACGGATGTACGCGGTTCGGTAAGAAAATATTTGGCGCTATTGACCGTGTTTTAGGGTCATTGTCATGCTGAAAGATCTAGTTTACAGGCAAATGATCGTCCGAGTAGAGAATCATTGTGTGCTCTAACATATTTTTGTACTGACATTTATTCATTGTACCTTCAATCTTCCAAATGGGATCAACTCCACATCCAGTAAAACATACCCAAACTATAATGTTAGCGCCGCCGTGCTTGACTATACTCCTTGTGTATTTATAATTAAAAGTATTCTTTAAAGAACGTCTAACATAGCGCTTTCATCGGAATTTACCATATTTATTTTCGTTTTATTTAAAAATAACACTTTTTTTCATTCCTAGTTACTATATTCTTTAGCAAATAATAATTGCTTCTCTCGGTGTTGCTTAGTAAGAAGCGGTACCTTTCGAGAGGTTCATCCAAACAATTTAGCTTCCACTAATCTTTGGCGTATCAGTCTTGATGAGATGTTTCTCGGGTCATCAGACAAAAAAAACTTCATTTTTAATCTGGTTGGAGCCTTTAAATGAGTCTTTTTTAGCAACACGAACAATTAACTTATCCTCTCTCGGAGAGAATCTTCTTGGCCGAGCCTTTCTAAGACCATTTTCAACTGTTTCATCATTTCCATGTGTTTTCTAATGATCAATTGCATTAAAAACTTTCTTAATAGAACAATGTAAATGCTCATCTATTCTCTATTACAATTATTTGCCTAGTTGACGTGTCACAATTTTTATTTGTGTCCATTTTGAACAAAATAGAATTCAGATTAAATTTTGAATTACCGCCAAAATAATAGAAAAAGGCAAGAAAGAAATATTATTCTTCAATTTAAAAAAAAGAACGAGTTATGGATGCTTTTTTAAAATGTTTCTAATTAGGCGTCCAAGTGGCAAGTAACAGTAAATAAACTCCTACATGTTTAAGACTCATTTTATAATTGAAAGTAAAATATGTTTTATATTTTATCCATTTAATGAGTTTTTAATTTGAGTGGCTATATTATTAATTATTGAATATGTATATTTTATTATGATAATTTGTACGTGTAAGTTATACTGTCTTTATTCATAAGAAGTGTTTCTAATTATATGACAACCACTGTATATATATTTCTTTTTATAACACAGGTGACAAACGAGCATGCGGCTCACCTGATGGTAAGTGATTTCCGCCGCCCTTTGGTAAGTGAGTACCCGCAACACCAGGGGTATTGCAAGTACGTTGTCGGCCTTTTAAAAAGGAATAAGCTCTTTTCTTGAAGGTTTCAATATCGTATCGGTTCGGAAATACCATTCCTGGAAGGTGATTACACAATGTGGTTGTGTATAGCAAAAAGTTTCTAGAAAACCGCACTGTGGAGGACCGTCATTCATCCAGATGATCAGGATGGTGTTTTAGTTTCTGGCGGGTGGTACGGTGGTGAAACTGAGCAGCTAGTATTAATCCGAACAATTCCTCAGAATACTACTTATGGATGTCTAGAGAAAAGAGAATTACGTACCAGCTTTTGGGTAAATTTTACCTCAGGCATAACAGTCTCATACCGCGAGATGACCGGCGGTGATTGCTTCCTATCGTCAAGTGTCGAGTTGGATGCAAAAACAACCAAGGAGATCGGTCTTGAACTCGTTGGCCCAACATGTTAAGGAGAATCTTTAGCATGTTGGGTCAATGAGTTATGTTAACCTTTCTGCGCAGTGGTGGAAAAGATGGCTGACAGTAATTTCCCTGAGCAGCTTTGGCAAGACACCAAAAATCCGGGATCCAGATGAAAGACTGTTCAGTCTTACCAAATTTGCTGATGTATTCCGACTTTGTTGTGACTATAACTCATTTGAAGGACCTGGAAGCGGGGTTATACTTCCTTTGAAGGGCACCGGTTTCTGGATCACTCAACTTCACAGCTGCAATCCAGGCACGGAAGCATTCCTGCTTACGGCGAGATGCCGATCTAGAGGATCCGCCGTACCGGGACTGAGATTACCACCGATAGGTACCTGGGAATTCGGAATAAACATCTCCATTCCCTGAAGTACTACATCGGTGACAGATTCAGCTATTACATCAGGATCGTTCAGTGCGAAGCAAACTCGCTCCCATGGGTAAGATGCAAAAAAAAACTTCGCATCTCATCCCAATCTGCCGACTTAACAGTAGTTCGCGGCAAAAAAGGACGCATGCGTCCTTATTTATAATAGCTCCTTAAGGTTGTATCAGACTCCTCTCGATACAAAACATGTTCCTGTGCAAGACATGGGAATTATAATGAATTTTCAGAATAACGAAAAAGTGAAATTTTATATTTACTGTAACAGTAGAGTAAACCGAATATAACGTAAATATTTACGTTGAAAATATTGCTATCGCGCTTGGATAACGGGAGACGCATAGTCTCTGAATAAAGATATAACGAATTCTGAAGAATATCTACATGGTCATTTTATTGCGCGTACATTCCTAATTTTATGCGCATTGTGCACTGTTTTGCGGCATCACAAAGGTCTTAAACAAAAACTTAGTGAAGGAGTTTGTATATGCAAAAGGCGATAAGCGCACGCTATTACTAGCGCTCTCTTTCTTTTCCACGGCTACGTTATTTTATGTTACTGGAATTGTAAATCTCTGATGAATCTGACACCATTTTCATGGTAAGTGGCAAATATCCGTGTAACGTCTGTAATACGAGGGGTATTACAGACGTCACACGAATATTTGCCACTTGAGTAACCATTTCGAAATACTATGTGCCATACCTTCTAACACTTGAACCTGAACACAATTTATGGTATAATACAAACTACATGAACTTATTAGTACATATTCTAATTATTGGTCATATTTTAATTAATATTGTGCAATGCAAATAACGTCATTGTAAAATTACATTGATTAATTGGATCTACAAACTGATTCAGAATTTTTATGTGTCATGAGTACAATTGTATCACCTGTTGTATGACTAAGTTATTGAAATGAAGTAGAATATGATGATAACCAATAGATAATGTAAAGCAAAGTAGGTGTTTTCGTGTTTGATTTACCGTCTACTTCTCAACCACGGAATAGATTTTGAGACGGTTTATACTATAATTCCGAAATTTGTTACGAAAGATTCATATGTATAATATTTAAATGTCGGCCTTGGTTAGACCACCAAGTTAAAGCGGTATAGCATTCCGCTTTACTCCGATGATCAAGAGTTCGATTCCATGCACGTTACAGACATATGTACTTTTGAGTATAATTGTTTGTATTGGTCTGGGTGTTCTAGATATATATATATATACTATGTATGTATTTACATAAAAATGTAACTAAGAAGTTCTATCGATTATCTAGTACCAATAACAGACTCTGCTTTGCTTGGTACTAGATGCCGCTGTGAATTGTCCAGTTATACTATATTATTCTTATAATTATCTTTCTGAGCTCAGTCATATTCATTTTGCCCCTGCGAAGCCATACTAAATCTAATTTTACTTTTTCCTAGAGTTACATGGCTTGAAATGATATAAATAAATTATATGAACTGAAATTCTGTCATTGAACAAATTTAATATCTGTTCAAAAAGTAGCAGAGGTATCCTATAAATAAATATTATAATTTTTATTGAACTGTTAGACAAAATAAGAAACGATATTGCCTTATTTTTATGTTTATTGAACAGAAAATTAACACACATGACCTTTTAGTTTGGCACACCAATTTGGTGGTGTAGCACACTCGATTGTCGCTTGTTCGATTCTATTCGATTCATGATTATGATTCTATGTATGATTTTTAAGTGATGATGCGGCATCAGTATGTGTGCACCCGCCTGCGTTGACTCATTGCTAGCAATGAGGTCATTAGTCCATATTACTGAGAATTACTCTCTCTATATATGTATGTATGTTGTACTAGCTGTTACCCGCGTCTAGGTCTGCATGGAATTAAACTATTTTTTAAAATACATAATTTTTCTAATATATAACTTATTCCTTAGAACATTTTTATTGAGGAGTTTGAGCTATTGTCAGATATTTTAGACCTGTGGCACGGCAATCTACATACATCTATTTAAAAAATTTATCAGATATTCGCAGATAGCTAAAATAAATTTATTTTAGCTATCTGCGACTAAAAGACCCATCAAAATCGTTCCACCCGTTTCGAAGATTAGCGAGAACCTACAAACACACAGACAGACAAAATTGATAAAATTATATTTAATGTAAGTACTGTACAATATATACTTTCATATGTATTTAGTGAAACACTGTTAATTTAAAATTACTAACAGACACTTCAATATTATTTATTTAGAGGTATTTACAAAAAAATATATGTTTTAGTATTTTAATCACTATTCTTGTACCGATCTAAAAATCTGTATACTTATCATTCAAAACAGAGCGCCGTATTAGCCTTGTTTCGTTTATTGAAATATGACGTCATAGCTCGGAAATGTCACGTGACATCACGTGTTTTAGGGCGAATTTCAAACCAAGATAAATAAAATTCATGTTTTCTCTATCAAATAAAGTTTTTTTTTAATTAGATATTTGTAGGGGGTTTTAAATAAGTCTACAAAAATTATAAAATAAATTTCAGGAAATTGTCAAGTAGCATAAAAAATTTGCTATTCTGAAATGTCATCTCAGGTCGTGATTCGTCGTACCAAAATGGAGACTCGGAACGCTGGGCCGAGCCCGGCTGGACAGACCGCTCTAAAGGATCGGGCGGCCGCGAGCGGGAGTCGCGCGACGTTCGCCGCGATGAGGAAGCGGAGCCGCCACAGCCGCGCAACGACCGGTGGAAGGAGCTCGAGCCGCGCACAGAAGAGCGCAACTCGCGTTGGGCTTCCGATGATGTTCGCCGCACAAGCTCCCGCAGGGACGAGGTCAGATGCCAAACAAAGATACCGTTACTGTTATATCAGATGGATAGTCAATTATTAACGTTATGGTGAACGCAACATTTGACAAGTACACATTTCGCTGGGTATATCAAATTATTTTTTGGTTAGATATCAGTTTACTTACGCCGGTGGTTATAAATTTAGATTGTTAAAGTTCTTCTTTTGTTTTAAGTTTGTGTCAGCCATATCGTCACGATGCTCTTATGTATGGGGTTGTACCCCATATCTTTTTTATGTAGTCATGCTGAAGCCCGACCTGATGAAAAGTGGTAGCCATACATACATGAGCTGTTCGCGTAGACGATGCTTACGGCATCACATCATGTCATAATTTGACGTCTGTGGTGGAAGAGGATGTCAGAACGACGGCATATTGTAGTCTTAATTTTTTAAGCCATCTGTGGTTGTCGATAAACTACTGGTACCTAATAGAATAAATAAAAATAAAAAGCCTCACATGTTTAAGTTGCATAAAATTCAAAATATCTTTATTCATGTAGTGTGTCTATTACAGACTCTTATGATATGTGAAATCTATCGTCAGTTCGGAATGATTACGAGATGAGAAGAACTTAGAAGAAACTCAGCTCGTATTTTTTTTTTCAAATAAATGTTATACATGTTTCCAATAATACAGATTCATTTCAATTCAAATTTGGGAGAATAGAGTGACTACCAGCATATGCTATTGCAAAAGCAAAAAGTCTAATCAGTGTTCGTAACAAGAACAGACCAGTCTCCACAAGCAGCACCATATCCGCCATACCTGTGAACGGGTATGACGGATATGTACATAAATTAATAGAAATATAGATACATACAGAATTGGCAATGTAATTGTAATATGTTTCTTAGAACGACTGGACGGTCCCGCTACCTCGCGACGAGCGGCAGGAGTTGGAGTTGTTTGGCACTGGCAACACAGGCATTAATTTCTCCAAATACGAGGATATACCGGTTGAGGCCAGCGGCGACCGAGTACCGGACTACATTACAAGCGTATGTTTATTTTATTTACTATTTATTTATATAACATATTAATTAAATGACATATTGCTATGTATAATTAAACAGAAAACTAGGTGCTGTCACCAGTTATTGTAAAAAAAAGCTAAGAAATATATTTAAACCCATAAATTGACTTCATGACCATGATTAACATAACTGATGTAGTTCATGTAAATATATATGTTAGTGTTGAAGTGAAAGGCAGTTGTGGTTGAATAATATATTATTTATGTAATTGTGGTAATAACTATAGCGGAAACCGTGGTGTTGCCATTATACAAAAAAGTTGCCATATTTATTGTATAAAATATATCTAAAAATTGTAACATAAAAACCTAACCACCTAAAGTAACCTTTAAAATATTTAAATATATATGAATACAAAACTTAAAACTTAATTTTCATAAGTATAAAAAGTCTTACATAAATAATTTATTCTTTATTTTGATTATATGTAATGTTTCAGTTTGAGGATGTTAACCTGACGGAAATAATGCGTTCGAACATAGCCCTCGCACGTTATGACAAGCCGACGCCGGTGCAGAAGTATGCGATCCCGATAGTGCTGGGCAGGCGTGACGTGATGGCCTGCGCGCAGACTGGCTCCGGCAAGACGGCTGCTTTCCTAGTGCCCATACTCAATCAGATGTATGAGGCAGGGCCCGTGAAGCAAACTAGGTGAATAATTCTTTGTATTACATGATTATAACATAAGTTAAGCATAAACTGATGGAATGTCTATCTCTTAGGTTTTGTCATATAATATTCTAAACATATGTCGTAACGTTAAATACCTAGATATCCATATTTTATACATTTGTATTAATTTCAATAACTATAACTGTATCTAATTTGAACATAAAATTTTTATATGTTTATAACTAATTAGTACCCTGATAATTATTTATGAATTGGAACATTTATTTCTTTTTTGAATTCTGCAACCCAACATTTTACAGTTGTTAGAACAGCAAGTAGTGTATGTTCTGGGTACTCAAGCCTCATCACATTCGTAAGATAAGGACCTCACCATACATAAAGCACTATTTTCATCCAGTATCGTCAGCAACATTTGTACTAATATTTTATATTTTGATTTAATATTACATTTATAGATTTTTATAATTATGAAAAAAATCTTAGTTATTATACAGTATGGTGAAGATTAATTTGCTACAAATATAAAACCTGTCTGTTAACATGTGAAGTATTGTGAAAATATATGTACATATATTTATATCCTTTGATGTAATTGACAGGCCCTACCACAGACCTAAACAATACCCCCTGGGTTTGGTGCTAGCTCCGACGCGCGAGCTCGCCACTCAGATTTATGATGAAGCTAGAAAATTCGCCTACCGCTCCCGTGTACGTCCATGTGTTGTGTAAGTATCTGTATATCATAATGTTTTTTTTATCAGTTTTTAGCTCACAATTTTTAATTTCTAGGAGAGTACTCTGTAGCTGTTGGTTGTATTTTAATGACTATTTAAATTCTTATATTTTATAATTCAATAATTAATGGGTCGCAAACGATTTTGTTGTTGAGTGAGGTTTACCTACTTTAGTATATATAGATAGGGTCAAATTTAAATTCGTCAAGGTGTAAATACTAGGTATGTACTCTTATATATTGTATAGTGGTGCAACGGATTACTGCACCACCGAGAACGTCAAAAATAAGGGAATATAAAATTGAGTCGGTCTGTGTGTGTCACAGATACGGTGGATCCCCGATCCACGAGCAGTTCCGCGAGCTGGAGCGCGGCTGCCACCTGCTGGTGGCGACCCCGGGCCGCCTAGTGGACATGCTGGCGCGCGGCCGCGTCGGGCTCGACCACTGCCGCCACCTCGTGCTCGACGAGGCCGACCGCATGCTCGACATGGGCTTCGAGCCCCAGATTCGGAAGATCGTCGAGTGCCACACCATGCCCAAGACGGGCGAACGCCAGACACTCATGTTCTCTGCTACCTTCCCCAAGCAGATCCAAGTGCTGGCCCAAGATTTCTTGTTTAACTACGTGTTTCTTGCCGTTGGTCGTGTTGGCTCCACTTCAGAGAATATTACGCAGAAGGTAATCTAAGTTATACTGTCAGCTTTTATTAAAAATATAATAGAAGTCATTTATATTAATATTTTTTTCTTGGCCTTTATTTGGATTAATATATGTACAAAATATTGTGGAAGAATAGCAACAGTAGATAAATATGTTTTAGAGTGTATTGTTAAATATTTATCCTATTGTAAAAGATAATAATAATTTACATTTATTTTTTATTTATATAGGTGGTATGGGTTGAGGAATCTGATAAGCGCTCATTCCTATTGGATTTGCTGAATGCCTCTAACCTGCTACAGACTGCTCGTCCTGAAGAGGATCAGTTGATCCTTGTTTTCGTAGAAACTAAAAAAGGTGGGTTAATTTATGTAACAAATAAGTAATTGTTAAAAATCAACATGTGTCTGGGTGTTTGGACTGTGGGCGTAAAATGTAGTAAAATGTTTTGTAAACATGTAACAATCTTATTTGAAATTAATTAGAGCTGTCTTGTCAGTAGTTCTTTGCTGAAAGTTCTTCTAACTGACGGCAGATTTGAGATATCATAAGAGTCTGTAATAGACCTTCATGAATAAAGATATTTTGATTGATTTGAGTATAATTTGTAGGCGCGGATCAGTTGGAGGAGTACCTGGACATGCAAGGCTATCCGGTCACATCCATCCACGGCGACCGCACGCAGCGCGAGCGCGAGGAGGCGCTGAGACGATTCCGTACCGGACAGACGCCCATACTGGTCGCCACCGCTGTCGCCGCTAGAGGTAATCATCTTTCCTATCTACATTAACTTTACACTAGCATCTTTTTGTCTCTGTAATAAATTAATAACATTTTTTCCTATATAATTATCATTGTTATACCTTCCATCCTAAGGTTGCCTGGAAGAGATCGCTTTTTAGCAATAAAACTGTCCTTTATTTTATTTTTTGTTTTGTATAAACCACTTTGTGTTTTATCTTTTTATATACATACTTGTGTATGTAACTGTAATTCATGTAAGAGGAACAATAGTTTCATTTATTCATCCAAGCTGACAGCCTGCTGATGGTAAGAGATAATCATCGCAAATTTTGACCAAGTCATTTGTCAAATGACGTAATTTATGAATGGCCACAAAGAAGACTATATCTGGAACTCAATCATAGCATGTCTTTATTATTATTTATGTGTATTTATATATATTTATAATACAGGACTGGATATTCCTCATGTGCGTCATGTAATCAACTTCGACTTGCCCTCCGACGTGGAGGAGTACGTGCACCGTATCGGACGTACCGGCCGTATGGGCAACCTCGGGGTGGCTACTTCATTCTTCAATGACACCAATCGCGGCCTCGCTCGGGATCTGGTCGAGCTATTAGTGGAAGCTAAACAGGATGTTCCTAAGTAAGTACTTTATGAAATATACAAATAAATAATAATATATAATTAAATGAATCCATTTAGTTATATATTGTTACTGTATATTATTAGCATCAGTTGTCCAGTCATTTCATTTTCAATGTGTTACATTATGTTAAACTTATATAGCAACTGAACTCTATATTAAAAGACTAATTGAAAAAATCTACCACTTTAGTTTCTTGTCATTTCTTTTCAACTAAAGTAGCTAGTCAATAGTGATAAAAAAAAATATGTTTTGCACATAATTATTTTTCGTCCTATATGAATAAATGATTTTGCCTTATCTTACTAATAAAATATTAACTATTATGGGTAAATGTGTAGGATTCCAAAAGAAAATAATATTCATTCATTTGTTTTCATCGTACTTCTGACCTGCTCTGTAGACTTTGTAATGACAAAATTAATACGTAAAAGCATTAATGTAATTGATACAATCAAGACCGATGTTTCGATATTCATATATTACATACCAACATTAATCAATTAATCATTTTTTTATCATAAAAAAATTTAATCGTGATCGATCGTCACCCTACGGCTGTAATAATAATAATTAAGTACGAGATGTTAATGAAGACATTGCCCTTATAAAATATGCTTATATGAAGCGTATAAACATTTATTGAGTATTTTTTTTCTTATGTATGATAATGGATGGTGCACTCGCCTTCGCGAACGGTTTACGCTATCGGGGCACCACTGAAGGATGATAAGATGAGCAAGAAGAGCTCAGCTCAATTAGTTCTTCGTTATAAATTCATCGTGAAATTATATATATCACGATGGTTTCCATGTGGAGGTAAACCTGATATTTGACAGTACATTGCTAGCAATGTGATTATTATTTCATATTACTATCAATCCCCGTTCCCATCTTTTTTGAGAATGAAACTATTAGATTTTGTAATAAAATTTTAAGATATCGTTGTACTTTGACAGCTGGCTGACGAGCACAGCGGCAGATGGGCGACTGGGTGGCGGAGGACGGCGAGCCGGAAGTCGCTCGGGCGGCGGACGCTTCGGAGGCGGCGGCAGCGGCTTCGGAGCACGAGACTTCCGCACACAGCCCAGACAGCCGCCGCGCTCCGCCGGACCCTCATCTATGGGATCCGGTATGTATTTTTTGTTAAAACGATTTGGGAACTATTCCTCAGTGCTAAAGAGAACATGTAGCACTGTGTCCTGCGTAGATATATTGTGCTCATTTTTTGTTTGAGTTCGCTGCCTAGGTCAGGTACAAGAATTGAAGGATCGTCTTAGGAGCGATGGTTTTTATGGTTTCTCCTCAGAATAACTCTATTCTGATAAAGATAAAAACCAGTAATGGTAAGTAGGAGGTAAATTCTAAATTTCATTTCATGCATGAGTGGTTTATTTTATTTTTTTGAGAGTTTTAAATTATTGTCAGATGCTAAGACTAGTAGCACAATAAATTTATGCAGGTTGTACTGCATAAATTGAATTATATTCTTAGAGTGATGGTTGTTATCGCTTTAGGATACAGTGTTTCTAAAGGAGATATTTAGTTTATGCATGAGTAGGTTACAACCACATAGGATGTGTATGTTTCCTCTTCTATTTGGCAAAATCTGCAAATCGTTGTGAACTCAGGCTCAGGCACAGATAACTAGATTGTTTTTATTTTATACTCATTTATATATACGATTCCACTGCGAGACCATGTCTGGCCGGATTAACATATATGTGCAGTACGTAGACAAAGATATAACATAGTCTATGTTTTAAAATATACTTTTATCTGATTAAGTCAACTTTAATTTAATTATTTGTATAGGTACTGATATGAATGAGGTAGGAATAGATTACCTATTATTTCAAATTGCGCCCTAGAATGACATTAGACTAGATATAATCGTATCACAAATATGCACATAGATTTTCACAGTATTCAGTGTTATTCGGGACTGTAATCTAACATGCATTATACGTCCAAATTGTCCTTAAATCACTAGTTTCTTGTAAATATGAAAGTAATAAATTGAAAGTTTACACAGATTCTTCATTTATAAGTGAATACTTGTTATAGGATTTGGATATAGCGGCGGCGGCGGTTCATATGGCGGCAACTATGGCGGCTCGTACGGCGGCGGCGGCTCCAGCGGCGGCGGCGGCGGCCCCGACTGGTGGGACTCGTAAGCGCCCACATCGCACCGCCACCGCCCGACCGCTCCCATCCCGCACTAACTACCCACACCCCGATGTAGTGTCGACGCAGCTGACGACTATATATCTAGAAATACAAGCGGAAAACAAGTTTTCGCAACGTCTCAAAATTACAATATTTGAGTTATTTAGTTCTCTACCAATACTTACCATATATGTCGAGATCAAACCTTAGAGGTGATTGTCATGAAGTAGTCTGTCGTTTCGTGAAATGGTCGATTTATTTTCCATGAAATATTAACTACACTGTATTGACATTTTAGCAATATCTTGTCTCATAAAAACGTACAATTTCAATTAATATTTCGAAGTATCTATTATAGTTTAACTATCGGAATTATTTTTTTTTTGTCTCCGGAGCATACAGTACATGGTTACATGCTAATATGTTTTAAATTTTTATCAACAACAATATCTTATATGGCTTGGCCAAATCAATGAAACAACTAAAAAGTATAACTTTTTAATAATAAAGTCAAACACTTTCACTGTCCCTAACTAAATGCCTTTTTATTTGTTAGTGAATAATGCAATTATTGAGAAAGAAAATGCAGGAATTTTGCAATAAATGAATATTACTTTCCTAACAACTAGGATATTGTATTTTTATTATCTACACGTATCTTATTATTTATAAACATTTATATAGACTTATGACATAGTCAGTAATTTCTATTATATAAAGAAATTACTAAACATTGAACATAAAATAAAAGATCAGTAATGATCTACTATATGGGTAAATACACCCATTTCACAAAATGCTTGACTACTCTATGAAATTGTCAATTCTACGATTTTATCACAACATATTATTTTCTCGGTTCTAATTTAAAAGACTTAGCTCACTACAACCTATCTATCATATTACATGCATAAAATTTCTGTATCAGTTAACTAAGTGTTAAGTTCGTGAATATATTTTTTTAGTTAATATATATTAACTATATATATATATAGCCATGTGAATTTGTAGGGAGATATAAAAGGAATGCCTCTCCATGTAATCTATCATCGTAGAAATAGAGGGAATAGTTACCGTCCGTTACTAGTTAAAGCCATGAACGGATTGTCGGCACGGATACTACGCCGTCGAAACATATTGAAGAGGCGATACTCTCCGTGAGTGGTATGTGTGTGCTGAACCAGTGTCTTCAAACAGCCTGCAGTTTATAATATTAATATTTGCTGCACATTATTAATACAGGAATTCAATAGTGTTGATCACTTTCAATATACATTGAACTGCTCGGAACAGTTTTCAGGAATTAAAAATTATTATAGCTATGGTATGATATGTTATAGTGAGCAAAGCACAAGCTATGTCAAACCTTCGGGCCCTTAGCAGGTTACATCACAACACAGATGAACTATTATTGTATTATAAATATATTTAATACAAAGCGGCACTTCATTTACACGGCGATACTTTTTTTTTTTACTTTGGTAACGATGGCTGTGGGCGTCGACTGCCTGTTATACAGCGATACTTCCATATATATATATACTTACGATGTGGCCGATGTCGCATTAAACGATTATCGTTTGATTTATCTTATACGATAAACAAATGTAAATTGGTCAATGTAAATGCACTAGTATGACAAAAGCGACGTTGTGCAGTGTATGTTAGAGTTAAGTAGCCATAGCATATATTAGTTAATATGCCGTGTATTGTGGCGCAATCGGCGAAGGGTCTAGTTTAATTTTTCTTAATTCGTAACAGAATTGGACTGAAATTACCCCGTGATTATTTAATATGTAATGTTAATACGTTGAAGGAGAGCGGTGCGAATACGTACTACGTACTGAGGAAGGAGGACGACGAGCGAGGGCCGGCCGTGGGCTCAGAATCTCAAAACGACGCCCGTGCGGGCAGCCCTCTTGTTTCTTTATATTCACATATAGTTATATTCCAGATGATCACATATATACAAAATGAAAGCTGTCCAAGCCAGTGCTCATTCTGGAAACATGTAACCGTTGCATAGATACATAATTAAATATTAATAATATTATCGATATCACTACTTAATTAAGTCTGTCGTGTCTCTGTTTGATTTAACTACTTTCCATATTGAGTTAATGCTCAAGTTTAAACTCTGTATATGTGTAGTCCTCTGTAATTTTGTCATGGGCATGCTCTACAAATGCTCATGTCTATAAATTGTCAGCGAGAGTGATTGCTCGCCGTCTCTAGTGCAGTTGTCGTTTTTAGATTAACTTATATGAGAATCATCCGTTTCATTTACGTCACATCCGTCGTGACTCGCACGCGTTTTATCATTTTAGTACGATTATGTGAGTAGTCTATTAATATAGAAATATTTTTGATGTTCGATCTGTATTGTGAACTCGTAAATGAATGATGTAATGTGTATTTTCTATTTTCTGACAATCCCATAGCTGACTCGCTCCTGACACTGGAATTTTGAAGCATTTACGCACCCTAAAATCGATGTAGCTATTGAAGATGTAGTTTTAGAAATTGAAAAGTACCGATACAGTATAATAGTAAATAATTACTAAAATTCTCTGTAGAAATCCCATTATATAACACCTGTCATCGACGTGGTCTATAATTTGAATGTGAATTTACCAATAAAAACTATAAGAAACATTTTACTGTTGTTTTTATTTAATACCTCACTAATAAATTACTATTTTGTAAAGTTTTTGTAATCATCATAGACGTCGTGATCGTGGAGTTATATAGATCCTGAGTATCTATGTAATTGATTCCAGAAACTTCCACGACAATAAAAATATAGATATATTTACTGACGATGAATTTACATAAGGTTGTTTCCAATTGTAAATAAATCTGAATTCCACATGATTATGGTGGCAGACTCTCTTTAATATGGACTATATAGAGTCACGTGGGTAAGTATGCGCAGCGAATAAGTGTACGTACTCGAAGTATTTCGAAAACGGTTTATAGGTACGAACTGATAACCCCCCTCCTCATTAGCGCACAAAAGGCTACACTTGGTGCAAGTTTGTTACTGTCCTCCGGTGAACCATTTTGTTTTCATAAGTGAGTATTGTTTTTTTACTTGAATTATTGCGATTTTTGTTCTAAATCAGAGACTCATTCCTTTGTAACATATTTATATATTGAAATTATGCTTTATACCATCGAACAGTACATTTTATGAAATATAAGCCGTGTTTAATGTTTTGGTGATGACTATTACGTAATATTGCTCAGTTCTGGTTAAATTTTATTTTGATGGTTTGGGGCAAGTGTGCGCATACGAAAGTCGGGTAAGTTTACGCATGCGAATACTTACCTCGCTCCGCTTTGCTGATGCAATTTGTTATTTCAGAGTTTAATTATACATAAAAAATGCCTCGATTATAAAAGAAAGATGCCGGATAGAAGTGTTGTCACAGAGGAACAGCTAGAAGCTGTTAAAAGATTAATTTCGAAGGTTGCCAGCAAACGATAGGGTGGTAATAGTGTGGCACCCGCAATAATGAGTGTGCCTTCGACTAGGAATGAATATGTACCACTGTCATCCATCTAAGAAATGCCTAAGGCCAAGATTCAAAATCGACGAAAGAAAGGCAAAAAGTCAATCATTGAAAGTCCTTATAAAGTAGAATTGGAAAAAAGAAAAAAACAAGAGGAAGAATAAATTGCCAAAAAGAAGATACGACTAGATCTGAAAATAAAGAAAATGATGAGCAGGAATTCTTTTCCCCACTGTGTGGAGATAAATACATATTTCCACCGAATGAAGACTGGATCCAATGCAGCATCTGTAAGAGCTGATGGCATGAACAATGCAATAACTTTGAAAAGGAAATATTTGAACTGATGTATTATTAGGTTGAGTATGGGGCATTGTTGGCTCTATTGTCAGCAATGTCTCTTGTGAGGGCGACCTACACGCAGTTTCTCCTAAAAATCTCTAGTCAAGCCAACCTTGCTTAACTCCGTAAAAATCAAAGCAGTCTATTCATAATCAAAATCTTTTTGGTAATTAAATACAACGTACATATTTATTTGTAAATTTGAGGGGGAAGTTATTTATTTTAAGTATACGGTTGCTAGCTACCGAGTATTCATTATAGTAGGAATTTGGAGTTGTATGCTAATAGTATACTCTTTGGTCACTAGTGAAGTGCCTGAAAGTCCTATGGTTAATACTTTACAGCAACGTCATGTGAGACGTTTTATTTTTTTTTACTTGTAGGTATTATTAAACTTGTTTCCACCAACAATCTAATAAACAACCATGCAAACGATCACTTTTAGACTAATACGTCCATATGTGATTTTTTATATCAACAAATATATGTTGATATAAAAAATCACATATGGACGGGATATTACCACCATAATACTATGATCGCGATGCATTATGTTAATTATAATATATATTACTAGCTGTCTCGGTAAACGTTATTTTGCCATATAAATAAATATTGCTAATAAATAAGGGTTGGTGGTAGAAGGGTGAAAATTTAATGTCAAAGAAATAAAATAAAAAATATAAAAATTTTTTGGGGTGAGCCGCACTTAACACTAGTGGTATAAAAATTAGTTATAAAACGTATTCTCAGGCCTACTGAATATACATATAGGTACAATTTCATCAAAATCGGTTAAGTCGTTTCGGAAGAGTATAAATACGAAATCTGTGACACGAGAATTTTATATATTGGATTAAGTACGTGATCAATCTTATCATGTTATATAATTTAAAAAAGTTTTAGTTAATATTTTTTCAGTACCTACATTTCTCAAAAAGGGGTAAAATGGTATTTACGGTGGACGCTAAAGGAATTATAGTCTTTAATTGTATATATTAATATTTATCTATTAATAAATTTCATAATCACCTATGGGATTAAGGGTTAATAAAAGGTAATTTGACTACGATTGCACTAAAATCGAGGGATTGTGGTCACCTTTTGGGGTAATCAGAGTCACATCGTCGCAATACGGATAGATATCATTATTTTCATCGTCTTGAAATAACACTGTCTGATACGGAAGTATAGCCGTTTCTGATTTAAAATTGTTTATTGCTATTATATGCAAATAAAATAGTGTATTACGCACCCAATGTAAGGCAGGTAGACTCAAAATTCGCATTGGACAATAAACTTATTAATTTTATTGATGAGACTGTGCTTCTAGATTTCACATTAGACTCCAAATTGCAATGGGGTGCTCACATTTCTAAATTGGCCGGTAGACTTAGTTCTGCCACTTATGCGGTAAGAAGAATTGGACAATAAACAGACGTGGCGAAGGCTAAAATTGTCTACTAAATTATTATGTCATATAGTATGTTATTATGAAGTAAAGCAGCTGATATAAATACCTAAATAGAGTACCTGGATATTTATCTTGGCAAAAGAGTGCCATCCACTCCATTTATGATATGAGTTCCAGAGAGTCTGCGAGAGTGCTTTAAGGAATCAAATAACCTTATCTACATTTGCTTCTCCATTATATTTACGAAAATAGCATGTTTACTAGGAAAATAT